AAAAAAAAAAAAAAAATATATATATATATATATATATATATATATATATATTTTGAGCACCTCCTGTGTTTCAGGAACTGTTGTAGGCATTAGGCTAGACCAGACTAAATGAACAAATGAACAAAACAGATTAAAACTCTGTTATTCATGGGGTATAATTGCAATTTGTGGTAATGGGCATGCTGCCAGTATGGATCCACCCATCATATCTTGGGCATGAGTGGTGACAATCAGATTTGTATCTCATGAATACTCATAACCAATAAAAAAAAATCTCTGTCATTATGGAACTTACGTCTAGTGGGGCCACCATATCTGGATTCACATGTAGTTCTGCCCCTGGGACAGTTTACTTATTCCCATCAGTTTGTTTCCTCACATATAAAATGGTGTTAATAATGCCTGCTTCATAACATTTTGTGAGGATTAATGAGATCATGTCTGTGTAGTACTTAGCACATAGCAAGTGCTCATACATGGTGGCCACCAAGATGACTGATGTCATCATTTCTGTTTGGGGCAATTCTACTGGTCATCGTTGGATCTCCAGTGAGTCCCCTCTTTTGTGGGAGGTGACTTGCTCTCAGCTGCTTCATTGGCATGAAGACAGATGAGATTAGTCCCTGTCCCAAATCATTTTGGAGATGGGGTCATGTTCAGATGGCACAGTCCAGTTCTTGCTTTGCCTCACTTTCCTTTTACTTAAGCAGCAGCCGCATGGAATTAGCCCTTGTTCAAAAATAACTACTATTATCATCCTGTTTTGCTTCCCTGGGTGACGGACTCTAACGTTTCTTCCTCTCTCCTTCTTTCAGATTGTTTAGTGTAATTTTGGAACAATTAACCAAAGAAACAGAAGGCGGGAACCACTCTAGCGGCAAATCAGGAGGCTTTGATGTCAAAGCCCTCCGTGCCTTTCGAGTGTTACGACCACTTCGACTAGTATCAGGAGTGCCCAGTAAGCGCTTTTTGTTTCCTAGAGTCAGGCACGTGCTGGTTTTTCCCTCTAGGTGGGTCTCAGAATTATGAAACAGGGCTGTGAGGTGAGTTGCTGTGCTCCCGTTGGGCTCAGCAGACCACCATGGAGGACTTCACAGTTGACAGGACACTTTTGCTTGCACTGTCATTTAGATCCCTGTGACAGTCCTGAGAGGTGATTATTGTCATCTTGATTTTGCAGAAAGAATCTGCTCTTGCAGAGACTAAGCGGTGGCATGAGGCCTTGGGGTTGGGCATACTGACAACCAATCTAGTTTTCCTCCTCTGACAATAAGGGGCCACCACCTCCCTGCTCCCAGGCCTGCCCCTCTGAAAGTGGGGGCTGTGTAGATGAGGCTGTTGGAAGGCTCTCTGCCTTTTTCCAAGGTGGGGAGCAACAGGGGGTGGACTCTTGGAAACTTGGATTAGCTTCCCCCCCTAGTAGGAATTGTGCCTGTCCCCCTCTGGGGGAAGGGATGAATGCTTCCACTTCCTCACCTGTATGCAGGGCATGGTAGCACCTGCCTTGCAGGTTATGAGAACTGAATGAGGTAATGGAGGGAGAGCCCCTAGCATGGTGTCTGGAACATGGAGGAGGCTCTCAGTGAGAAAGAGAGAGAGAGAGAGTTGTCATTCACTGGGCCTTAGTTTGCTTCTGGCTCCAGACCTTCAGGCCAGGTTGAGCCACACCTGAGTGGGAACAGATGCCTTGTCTGTGTCCAGGCAGGAGCTGTAGGCCTCTTATTCTTCCATAAGGATTGTGGGGTTTGCCTTACTGGGCTCTGCTTCCTGAGAGAACTCCCCGTGTTGGGGACTTCAGAGGATGGAAGTCCCGTCACCTCTCCAAGGACTTGTGCTTCTGAGGGGGTTGCCGGCCCACAGCCGGAGTGAGGATATGAGACTGCAGGGTGTGCCTGTTTTTCAGAACTCATAAAGCCATCGGAAGAGTGCAGAGCACTCTTTTTTTTTTTTTTTTTTTTTTTTTGCCTCTCCAGAAGTTTTTCATGAAATTTTATTAAAACTGTTGGTGTGCAGAATGCACCAAAAATCCTCTGGAAAAAACACTGTTTCCAAATTTAACATTTTAAAATGTAGGAAGCGGTGTTTTATGTGTACTCGTTTTTCCAGATGGTTCATTTATTTTCATTGAAAAAGATCAGCACAAGTCAAAACCTCAGAACTGTCTGGAAGCAACTGAGAAAAATAGAAATGGAAATGACTGGCTCTGTTAAGTGTAACATGATCAAATGAGAAGTTCCTTCAGATTTAGTTGTTATCGCTTAATCTAATTTCAAAGTAACCATGGCAGCTTTTGTCCCCCAAAGAGCTAATGGCAGGACTGCCTGCCCATGGTATGTGCTGCGTGCAGATGCATTGGGGCTGTGGCTTCATGCAGGAGGGTCTCTGGCTGGTGAAAACTCAGAACTCACATAGCCTTGTGTTGGCTCTGAGGGCTGATGAGGTTGTGACTAATCCACTAGTGCAGCGCTCCTAGATACCCATGAGAATCGGTTTTAAACTGTATTTCTTCTTTTCCCTCTGAAATAGCAAAACTCAGAACTCACATAGTGTTGGCTCTGAGGGCTGATGAGGTTGTGACTAATCCACTAGTGCAGTGCTCCTAGATACCCATGAGAATCGGTTTTAAACTGTATTTCTTCTTTTCCCTCTGAAATAGCACTGTTTGAAATTTGATCAAGGTCTGCATCTCACTCTCCCTCAGGGCAACAGGGAGAAATGAGAGTGTGAGTCTCGTGTGAGGACTCTTGAAGTCCATATTTTAACTGCCCAGGTGGGGAACATCTGAGTCTCTCATCAGACCCAAATGGGCTTTAGGGGAAGGGATCAGAGGTTCTGGGCCGTGCTGTTTCCAGTGCTAGGTGGCAGCCATGGCCTGGTGACTTCTTCTCCAGTACCTGAAATGGTTAAAAATGCCCAGAAATGTTTGACTGTTGACACTTACTTAGGAATCGTCTAGTCCCTTTTTAAGAGAATTCATACTGTTCTACAGGACATAATTTCGTTTGCACGCATATATGAGAACACATTCATTCAGTGAAGGTAACTATGTTTCAAAGGGTGGTAGTTCAGACATTTGCAGGGTTCTTAACCACTCATGTTCGGTTAGCTCATAAATATTTGTCGGAATCCAAGACCATCAAAGTAGGAAAGAACCTAAAAGATTCTCTGGTCTACCTTCATATTCTTTTAGATGGAGAAACTGAGGCCTGTGAAGAGGTAGTGACTTCTGCGAGTTCTCGGTTAGTGGGTAGCCAAGCAGGTGTTCTGTCCTCTCCTTCCTCTGCCTCCTTGACTGGAGTCCCCTGAGCTCTGCTGCACGTGTTGATCAGGTACAGAGGGCCAAATGTAATGACCTTCACATCAAGATACAATTTGACCAGTCTGAAATACGATACTTACTGTAAACATAAGAATATTCATGACAGTATGGCTCACTGCTGTAGCACTTAGAAGAGCTAACTGCTGGATGGTGATTTGGGGTGGCCCATCCGCATCTCAAAAAACCAACCACAACAAAGCCTGTCCAAGTAGATGAGAGCAGCTGTTTTCTTTCCCCCTCCATGTATTCCTTTAGGAGACAAAAATGTTGAAAATCATCCTATTGATGATTTTCTTTTTTTTTTTTTTTTTCCGAAAGAGACCATTTGAACATTTAAATATCCAAAGGTAGCACCTAGGATTTTAGTTGTGTGAAGGTCTTGGAAAGACAGGGCCTTGTACAGTCTGAAATCCTGTTATCAGTCTTCCCTCTCCAACCTGTCCCCAGCCTCTTGTGTGCTACGTATCATGGTAAACTGTTGTTGTTGCAGATAAGTGTTCTTCTCTTTGTTGGTGTACTCTGATTTCTAGTTTATGTAACTCTAAGCATCTCAGCTTTTTATCTTCTTCCTTTCTTTGGCTATATATCAGGAGAGTGAGAGGATATTAGTAAAAGGGCAGTTTGAAAGAGGAGAGACAACGGGGAAGGGAAAGGAGGAACAACACAGCAGAAGCTGAGGTTACTGGGCAGTGCAGAGACATGGAGTACGAGACGTGGAGTCAGGAGGCCTGTTTGCAGAGTGGGCTCCAGGTCCCTGCGTGTTGTCCTTCCTCAGTCTTCTGCTTCCTTCCACCCAGACCTGTTCCTGAGTGTCGCCCCACCATGACCTCTTTTTCTCTTCTTTGGCAGCCTGACCCACACCATGGCTCCAAGTATTTCTCTGTGGATAGCATCCAGGTTTTCATGTCCCTCATCCCTGAAGCTCATGGTTCAGCTGCAGGACACTCCACCTTAAGGTTATGCCAGTGGTCCAAAGTCACCATCACCCCTGCACTCTTCCTTGTTCCAGAAGAGCCTCCTTTTGAAATGCTTATTTTTGTTCAGGGTGCTGGGGTTTGCTCATGACCCTGGAGCTCCGTAGGCACCTTCCTCTTATTTCAACACAGCTGTTGACTCTGGTCTCATCTTGACCTACCCCAGCACCCTGGAGCTGCCTCTCTGCCCATCTGGCCTGCTACTGTCTTTTAAAGCAGCTGCTTTTTGCCAATGGACTAAAGTGTCTCTATACCCCAAATTCAAAACTTAGAACTACCTGGCTGCAGTCTACTTCTCCTGCCTGCTCCTTTTTCCCATAGGTGACCACCAGTCAAGATTCGCCAGCCCCAGGCCGACGCTGTGCTTACTCACTTGTGGGCGTTCGGTACCTGCTTAGGTTGCCTCTGTCCCATGCCCCCTGTGGAAGTCTGTCCTCCTCAGCTTTCAGCCCTGCCTAGAGGGAGGCTGCCTCAGTTATCTTCTTCACAGAAGCAATGTCTCCCCTCTTTAATTTTAACTGTTTGATATTACTTCTACAGCTACCTACTACTACCTTCTACTTGTGTGCTACCTTAGAGTTATTTGAGCTTAGTTCTTATGTCTCCTTCTAGAATATAATCTCTATGGGAGAAGGCACTTTATGTAGTACATTTGCATATTGCTTCTACCTACTACCTACTACTACCTTCTACTTGTGTGCTACCTTAGAGTTATTTGAGCTTAGTTCTTATGTCTCCTTCTAGAATATAATCTCTATGGGAGAAGGCACTTTATGTAGTACATTTGCATATTGCCAACAGCGCTAAAACTCATGCTTTCCATGTGGTCAGTGTTCAAGGGATTCTGCTGAATGGATGAAGAAATCATAGATGAATGACTAGCTTTGACATTGGGCAGTCCCCCCCTAGGCCTCAGTTTTTCCATCTGACAAGTGAGGGAGTTGGATTAGATGATCTTTAAGGTTCCTTGTTTAGCTCATCTTACATCTAGGCTTAACATTAATTACAAGCTTGGAAATACCTGTTTGGGTTTTATTAGTATGTGTCATAAATAGAGTGGGCATCATTAGGGATTATGTATAAGCATCACTGAAGTGTCTTCCTGGCTCACAAACTTATTTTTCTCTTTCCTAGGTTTACAAGTTGTCCTGAACTCCATTATAAAAGCCATGGTTCCCCTCCTGCACATAGCCCTTTTGGTATTATTTGTAATCATAATCTATGCTATTATAGGATTGGAACTTTTTATTGGAAAAATGCACAAAACTTGTTTCTTTGCTGACTCAGGTGAGTAGTGAAAATGACAGTTAACCTAACATTAAAAATTTTGGTTTCGGGGCCGGCCCGGTGGCGCACTGCTATAGTGCGCCGCTTGGGAAGCGCGGCGGCGCTCCCGCCGAGGGTTCGGATCCCACATACAGACCCGTTCCCGCTCACTGGCTGAGCGAGGCGCGGGAGCAACACCGAGGGTTGCGATCCCGTTGCCGGTCCCGGTCCGGTACGGGGGCGACACTGAGGGTTGCAATCCGTTGCCGGACACGGAAAAAGACAAAAAGGAAAAAAAAAAAAAATTTTGGTTTTCCCAAGAACAACTTTGTATAGTTTTGGGAAAATCTAAAACAAAATGGAAAAAAAAAAAAATGCCAAATATGCCAGCAAGTCTACTGAGCAAGTCATTACTGTGAATTCAGAAGAAATGAGAATTTGATCTCTTTTTCCATCCTGATTTCCTATGTAATGTGTCATAGCAAACAAGGTGAGGGGCCTCCAAAACTAAGACATGAGCAGACCAACAGCATTGTGCTCTGTAAGCTTGGGAAAGGCGCCACAAGCGTGAGGACGAGGAAAGAGCTGTGGGTTCTGACTGGAGGAAATGGCAAATTCTACGGAGGGGCAGCACTTGAAGTGGACCTTGAAGGACAAGTGGGGTTTGGAGACAGCATAGATGGGAGGTCGGGCGTTCTAGGTGCTGGCAAGGGTCCTTGGCTTCCACTGGCTCGGGTTTCCTGATGTCCCCCTCCTGAGTGGTGCAGCCTGCTTGCTCTGATTGCAGATATCGTAGCTGAAGAGGACCCAGCTCCGTGTGCGTTCTCAGGGAATGGACGCCAGTGTACCACCAATGGCACGGAATGTAGGAGTGGCTGGGTTGGCCCAAATGGAGGCATCACCAACTTTGATAACTTTGCCTTTGCCATGCTCACTGTGTTTCAGTGCATCACCATGGAGGGCTGGACGGACGTGCTGTACTGGGTAAGCAGCTGGAGGAGAGAGTGTGTGGAGTGTTCTTTCCTTGGAGAAAGGAGTTTCACTAGCTAGAGCCACTGGAGAGTTGACTGGATGAGAACCCTGGAGCAAATTCTTTGGGAAGGGAAGCAGACCTCTTCACTCAGCAGGCCTCATCATCCTGCTCCCCAGGGCCTTAGTTTCAGTTCTAGAAAGCTGCTGCGTGATGCTGGGGTCTGGCCATTTAGTCCTCCACTCCCCAGTGCTGCCTGGGGAATTGTTGCTGAGTATGCCCAGTAATCCTCCTTGGAGGCCAGGGCTGTCCTTCTTACACCCTAAGAGAGCCAGTGGGTCATATCCCAGTTTAAGAGGCCCCTGGACTTCCATAGGCTAAACTGATCTTTTATACAGATAGGCAGGTTACTCTCCTAGATCCTGAAGGGAGAATAGGGAGCTTAAGTTGGATCCCTTCCACAACTCGATGTGACCTTAACCCCAACATGAGTTTTTCTCCTATTATAATATTTTCCTTTTATATCTTGAGCGTTACTCTAAAGTGGCCCAGCACAAGCCCTTAGTTCTCTTTCTATTTGGAGCTATAGATCTCTGGCAGAAAGGGTACACACAACGTGTCAAACTTCCAGGGCTGGTGGACCCATCCAACCCACCATGGAAACAGTTGAATACCCTTTTCATAGTTAGGGCTTATTCTTGTTTCCGGCAGAGCCAGAAGGGTTTGCTGTAAATAAAGTGTAGAAATATCTTAACAGCCATTTCCGAGGGCTGAGTTTGTTTGGTAGAATTTAAAAAGCTCACAGAAATTTAGAAATTGTTTTCCATGGTACAAGAGTTGCTGGGAAAACAGCTAACATGTAGATTTTGAGGCTAAATCCAAGTTCAACACAATTGACCAGGATTCCAATAATGAGTTTTAAAGGAAAATTAGTAATAAAGTACTTCTTGAATCAGCAGCTTCTAGTTAGAGAGCCTGCAAAATGAGATGTAGCTTCTGACAGTTTCTAAATTTTAGACACTTTACAGCATATCATATTGCTCCTTAACTTCAGAGAGCATAACATATAATTGTTATTAATCGGATGTTGCTTCCCTTCACCAGTGAATGGAATGCTTGCAGGGTTGTAAAGTCCCTTTGTGTTCAATGCTGGACAAAGAAGGTGTGTTTTATCTGTAGTCCCCAAAGTGTGAGTCTAGTTTGATGAGGTTTAAGCATCACCGGCATGTTATATCTTGTTTTTCCCTCTTTTCTTTTTTTCTGATTGTCATAGGAGAATGTGTGTGTGTGTGTGTGTGTCTGTCTGTCTGTGTGGATATGCACATCTGTTACTTCTATTCAGGAAGAGGAAGAAGGAGGGAGATGATATTGGAAGAGCCAAGACCATGCCAAGCAAGGGAGCCCTCAAGTTAGGTGAAAGGCTGATTCTTATTATTATCTTCTAAATTGTAATTTCTAGTCAGATTACTTGAGGTCTCAATCCCAGTCTTCCTTGGTTTTTCTGATAAATAGCAAAAGCATTGTCCAAATAGCCCAAACTCTCATCCTTACCCCCAAACAGTACAGAAAACCACATTTTGATTTTCTAAAACATAAAAATCTGGGACTCGTCTCAGCTTTCTTCTTCTCTTCATTGTCATGGTGAATTGTCAGTTGCTGATCCGACATGCCTTGACTAATGGACAGTTTTATACTTTGTTATGTTTCTGTACCTTGATTCTCTCACAACAGTTTTCCTATTGCCAAGCAAGTGAAAACTCTGGGAGTATTTGATTAAAGGAGAGAGAACTGCATGCCCCTAGAAACAGAAGTTTCCACTTGTTTTCCCAAGAAGTTCTAAGTATCACTTAGGATGGTATAATTATTGTCTTTATTGTTAATATGACAATGACATCATTAATAATTTGACAATATAATTACATTCTCTATGAATTACATAGCATCTTTATTCTGATGGAGAAACTCAAAAAATTCATAAATATTATCCCAGTCTGTATCCCTTTATAGAAGGTCTAGAATCTTGAAGATGGAGACAGTGGGATGTAGAGAGACCACGGAACATCCCCATGGTCCTACAGCAAATGGTTGTCGTCCTCAATCTAGAACAGGGGTCCATCTGTAAACTTTTTTGTAAGGGGCCAAATAGTAACTATGTTTGGCTTTGCAGGCCACGCGTCTCCATCACAACTATTCCACTCTGCTGCCATAGCTCAGGAGCAGCCATTGACAATACATGAACAAATGGGCGTGGCTCTATTCTAGTCAAACTTTATTTATGGACCCTGAGATTTGAGTTTAGTATGACTTTCATGCCATCGAATATTCTTTTGATTTTTTCCCCAACCTTTTAAAAACATAAAGCCCTTTTTAGCTCAAGAGCCATATAAAAGCAGGCAGTAGGCTGGGTTTGGCCTGAGGATTATAGTTTGGAGACCCCTGATCTAGATTAGAACCCAGCACTCTTTCCTTGGCGTTCTTCCACTTGTCATCAGTTTGTGAATCCTAGAACACTAGGGGGCAGCTAAGTAATGTATTCCAGAGTGTTACATAAGATCTTACTCTCTGAAACACATCAAGATTGTTTTTAACTATTTGTTGACTGCATTTATTAATATCTTAGAGATAGGCAGGAGCCAAGAAACCAAGCCTCCTAATATTGTATGGACCATGGTCAGCTGGAAGCCACACAGCTGTGTTCCAGAACAACAGTGCCTGCCCAGCACAGTGCTAGGCACAGAGCAGTTGCTCAGCTAATACAAGTGACTGTTATCACCCTTCAGGTGTCCAAGCCTATTGCCTCATTGGTGTAGACGGGCCATGTTCAAATGTCTATTTTTATCCACAACTAAGACACAAAGGGAACATCTTGAGAGATAAAGGATATTAGGTTTTAAATATTGATTACAAGCAAATTTCTCAATCCTTTAGGTGTTTGTATTTGGTGGACAAAGTCTTTGTGGGGGACTGTTTTGCCTCCAGTCAAGTTTATAGTCAGTCAATGTTCTCAAGCTCATTATGCCTTAATTCTCAAGGTTATCTGGCAAATGGCTGGCAGGGTCATGAAAAAGGAAGTACAGGTGCTTCCGATATGCAGAAAGGCTCACTTAGCACATCCAAACAGTTGTGTTCTAGGAGCGGGATCCTTAACTTCTGGTGGAAAACATTACAATAGAGCTCTTTTATAGAGTGAGTTCTATAAATATAATTAAAGTGTCATTTGACTCACACATATTTGCTGCTCACAGAGGCAGTAGGTTGTAGGGCAGGGAAAGAGCCTTATGGCTGGATAGGGCTGGTTGTGTGACCTGCAGTAGGTTACTGAACCTCTCTGGTCTTTAATTTCCTTGTTATAAGGTGCAGAATTAGACTACATGATTTCATTTTTTTCTTCAACTTACAGGAAATTTTTTTTTTTCAATTCTGAGGGAATGAAATGAAGGAAATTAATTTGAAAGCATTGGTTTCAGGAAAGAGCCATCCATCTAAATCGTTTGTGGCTTCTTGCCTTAGCACCAAGCCCTTTTCTCGGTGCACACACCTTGGAGGTGCAGGCTGCCGGAGCCCGGCAGGAAGGACTTATGGTCAGGCTGACGGTCTCCTTCATTCAGGGCACCTGGGAAGTTCTTTGCTAGGCACTCAGCCAGGGCTTGCCTATCTGTGCCTTCTCTTATTCCATGCTCTGAGGAGCTACAACCTGTGTACCAAGCTTCTGGTAGTGTTTTCAACAGTTGGAAAAAACAAAGCTTTAGCTTGGCCTTTAATTTGAGACATGAATGTGCATTTAAGCCCTTAAAATGAGGAAAAACTGAAGCTAAATAGAAAATTATTTCCTGGGCACCAGGTGACAGACACCCCATGATGACTTTGATATAAATATTTTAAAAAATTAATCTAAATTGAAGTGCTTTAGCTCATGCCAATTTCTCCATTGTTGATAAACACCGTGCAGACAAAATCCCAAGTAGAGTCTCTATTTTCATGTGGGTATTTTTGGGAACAGCTTGCAAGTTCTGATTTTTCCCTGTGTGTGTGATAAGGTCTAAGAAATACTTGGCTCTGAAAGGGACTTGGATTGAGAAGGCTTAATTGAGAGAAAGACTGGCCTGTACAGCTCAGGCTTTGTCTCTCCTGCCCACCTTCTGCTGTGGAGATGGAGAGTCTTCTGTGGCTCTTGTTTAGTTCCAGCCTTTTTCCCCGGCCATCAGCTGCATTCCAGGCGATACTTCTGATTTGAGCAAATGTGAATCTGCTGAACACCTACTCCCAAGAAATTAAAAGCCTTTTTAATTTTTGTGGAGAAAACTTTTCCTCCTGAGTGGAGAGGACAGCTGTCACTAGAGCTGTTCTCAGAACACCAGGCTGAGGCCCAAAGCACAGGGAGTGGCCCGCTGACTTGGCCAGAGTAGCAGAAGAGTGAGGCTCCCCAGTGGGAACCTTGGAGTTGCACATCCTTCCCTCACCCTGCTGAGCACTCAGACCCCTGCTGCATGCATCTCTCTTCCAAGAAGGGAATACAGGCCCAGAGGTGTCTCTGTCACAGGTGCTGACTGCAGGCTGTGATCTGGCCACCATACCAGGCAGCATGGATCTTCTCCACACATGGGTTTTTAAATAAGTTTAGTGGTATAGTTGCTTTGGAAGAATTACCTTCTGCCTTCCTGCAGAAATTAGTTTATCTAGCTTAATTAGATCAACAATTGCAGCCACGGCCCTGGCTCATTCATTACTCTAATTGCCAATGTAAGATGTGTAGACTGATATGAGTTCTATTAAACACATCAGTTTTCATGTGGCCAAACAGGTGTTTCATAAGGGATTTAATGCCCTCTTCCCTAGACTTCAGCAGCAGATGTTAGGTAATTTTTTTTTTTCAAATGTTCTCTTTTCCTGTTTGGCTTCTGCATGAGGCAAACATTGTGAAATGCATGAGCCTCATTCTGTAAAGTTAAAACCTGGAGCTAGATAATGTGCAGGAAAGCACAAGCTTAAAACCCTAAGGGCATGCACCTGCAAGGCAAGAGCAATGACTCTGCCTAGACTTTATATAGTTCTTATTGGCTGAAGATTCTGGGTGTTCCAGAATGGTCAGGCATGGCATCATCCATTCTGTCCCCGAGTCATCCTTAACAACTCTTTCCTAGGAGAGATGTTTACCCGATTTAACACTGACCTGTCCAGCTTTGATCCTTAAAGCACCTGTTTGCTCCCACTTGAAAACTGCTCACTACTAAAACTTATGTGCAGCTCGGGCTTGTCCAGAAGTAGGAGCACAGGTTCCTCTGGCTAAGCCCTCTTTCACCTCTAATCCCAGTCAGTTCACAGCCAGAGTCAGTCTCCTGGGGTTCAATTGGGTCAAAGCTAGGTGTGGGGGATAAGGGCTTCTTTCCTTTTCCTGGGTCCTTCCGGTGGATGCAACTGACAAAAATCCCATTCCCTAAAGCATCCCTGACTATGTGTCAGCTAGTTGAAAATTTTCTTTTTGCATTCTTTTAGCTGTACTTGCGCTCACTGATTGCAGATAATCCAGATTTAAGGTGGGTTAGGTTTCCTTGGATAGTTTGGCTTNTAGATAATGTGCAGGAAAGCACAAGCTTAAAACCCTAAGGGCATGCACCTGCAAGGCAAGAGCAATGACTCTGCCTAGACTTTATATAGTTCTTATTGGCTGAAGATTCTGGGTGTTCCAGCATGGTCAGGCATGGCATCATCCATTCTGTCCCCGAGTCATCCTTAACAACTCTTTCCTAGGAGAGATGTTTACCCGATTTAACACTGACCTGTCCAGCTTTGATCCTTAAAGCACCTGTTTGCTCCCACTTGAAAACTGCTCACTACTAAAACTTATGTGCAGCTCGGGCTTGTCCAGAAGTAGGAGCACAGGTTCCTCTGGCTAAGCCCTCTTTCACCTCTAATCCCAGTCAGTTCACAGCCAGAGTCAGTCTCCTGGGGTTCAATTGGGTCAAAGCTAGGTGTGGGGGATAAGGGCTTCTTTCCTTTTCCTGGGTCCTTCCGGTGGATGCAACTGAGAAAAATCCCATTCCCTAAAGCATCCCTGACTATGTGTCAGCTAGTTGAAAATTTTCTTTTTGCATTCTTTTAGCTGTACTTGCACTCACTGATTGCAGATAATCCAGATTTAAGGTGGGTTAGGTTTCCTTGGATAGTTTGGCTTCCAGAGGAAAGTTATTATTTTAGGAGGGTTTTTTTTCTTTTTTTAGGTACACACATTTTTTTAGGAGTTTCTTAAAGAGTTTATAGAGTCAAATGCTGCAGTTTGTCTCTATAATTAAGACTTTTCCACCATCACACAAAAAAGTAAGTGCTAACAACTTGGGAAGAGTAGAAAATAGGCTTCAGCTAAGCACTAGTTTTATCCTCTATGAAGACCTTTTCTGAAAATCACTTACCAAGGCAGTTTTCTGTGAGAGAGAGGCAAATATCAGCTGATTTCCCTACCAGGGGCCAAAATCTGCTATGTGGCCTGAAAGCCTTGATGAGTCTTCGAAGCTGTGTGTGCGCATACGCCTGTATGAGTGTATGTGTGTTGGGAGAACGTAATGAATGTGCATTGGTTACTGTTATCTTGGATTTGAATCTAAATAAATGTTTAATTAAATGTGTAGAATGCTGTCTTTAATGTGACCCTCTCTCCTTACTAGATTCTCTTATTAATCCACTCCTATGAGACAACTCTTATTTCTTGCAGATGAATGATGCTATGGGATTTGAATTGCCCTGGGTGTATTTTGTCAGTCTCGTCATCTTTGGGTCATTTTTCGTACTAAATCTTGTACTTGGTGTATTGAGCGGGTAAGCTACACCTCTTTCATCTTGAAAGCAGAGTCCTGAGGACAGTTGCCAAGACCACACAGGCTTTGCTAGATGGGGGCTGCCGGGTGCGTGCCAGATGCTTTATGCGTCCTCTGAGATGCTTTCTTTTCTGCTGAGGCTTCCCAAATCACACTGTTTCCTGGAACCTCACCAGCCTCCATGAAAGAAAGCTATTGAATGATTATCGACCAGAAATTAATCAGCGTTGTTGCCTGGGATTTAAATAGCTTCCATTGCTTGCCCTTTTGTTTGTCCGCAAATGAGATACATTTATAATTGCTTTATTGGTCTGGATCCAAATATAATGCAGATTAATTGGTATGAAACAGTCGCTGAACGAGCTGGTCTGGGCCAACTTTTGGTAGGCCACATTTCTAGATTTCAGCAGCAGAACTTGTTCTTATTTGAAGAAAAGAATGGCAGGACCTAGGTCTTGTCCCTGTCCTAGGAACACCAACTTTCAGCCAAAGCACTGAGTGGTCTGGCAGCTGCAACTGGGGCTCTGCTCTTTAGTAAATGGATAACTGATAACCATTCTCCTTGCATTTTACAGGTAAATGATGCGATAGGATGGGAATGGCCATGGGTGTATTTTGTTAGTCTCATCATCCTTGGCTCATTTTTCGTCCTTAACCTGGTTCTTGGTGTCCTTAGTGGGTAAGCAGTTGGATCCGTGTTGCACATTCTGCCGCCACATGTGAGGCGGCTCTGTGTGTCTCCCAGCTGCCTCCTGATGGCTTCTCTGCATGCGTGTGGACTCTGGTGTCCCCTCAGTGTGTTGCTTTTGGATTGACCTGTGATTCTTTCTGTCTGTATCTGTCTGTGAGATTTTGTGTTTCTGATGCTTGCCAAACACTATTAACCTAATGAAAAGATTTCCCTGAAGCCAGTTGCATTAGTATGCGAAAGTGTAGGGGTAGATTACAAATGAGGAAAAGGGCTCCCAGCCTTGGTCTCCCTCAGGAAGAGGCCTCTGTCTCTTGTGGGTTTGTTTTCATTAGTACATAACCTGGGCCTTTTAGGTTACCCACAGTGCATCAGAAATAACTTCCCATGGTGTTTCAGATTTTATCATGAAGGAGAAATAAGCCTAGATTAACACATAAATACTGAACAGTTTCAAAATCTTACTTCCTCAGGTTGGAGTCCTTTATTAGCTGGGTTTTCTACTGCTGTCACTGTGAGAATCGTCCCTCTAATTCAGTTTTAATCATAGCTGGTAGAATCTTCAATGCAAAATCATGATCAGCTTTTGTGCATACATCTCTTGTGGCCTTGTCACAGTCCTCGTCATTCAGTCACCATTTTTGAAATTCATTTTGTTTACCACCTCATCTCTGTGGATTGACCCTCCATAATGAGGGTTCAACAGAGACTGACTTGGAAAGGGGTTGCCTTGTGTTGCAGGGCTCTGCCCTGCCTGTGGTTGGAGGGACCATCCCAGAGCCCCTGTGGGCAGCTCTGCTTCCTCACCATCCCTTAGACACCCAGAGAGCAGAGGACCCCAAGAAGGGAGCAGGGGGCCATCTGGGCTCTCTCAGAAGCAGCTCCAGGGTACAGCTATTGCCCAGGGGATGGGGAAATCTGGAGGCCCAGGAGGTGCCCATGTCCCCCAAGGAGGCTTTGTCACTGTATGAGCTCAGACATCCTCATTGATAGCATTGATAGACACGATGTGAGGGAGTTTATCTCAAGTCACTCCATCTTTCTCTTTCCACGGCCGTATCTCAGAGAAGTGATGTCTTTATGTGTGCTGAGTTAGTGAAAAGAGCTTTATCGCATTTTTCAGAACACTGCCTTTTCCAGAGCAGAAAGCAGTGCAGTTATCCATCTCGGCTTCCTTTCCTCACTTCCCTCAAGACCTCCATGCCTGTGTCCAGGGGATACGCACTGTGATTTCTCCTTGATTGAGTGTGGTCAGTTTCATACCATGGGCACACACAGTCACGTGAAGCCCCTGTGTAGAAGTGGCCCAGGAGCCAGTGCTCCCCAGCAAGGGGGTGACAGCATACTCCTTCCTCTGCCCCACCCTGCTTCCTGCCGCAGATCCAGGGCTCCTCAAGCCTCGTGTTCTTTCACTTCAGACTTTAAAGTGCCTTCTTCCTAATGCACCCTGGTGGCCTTAGGTGAGGGTTGGGATTACACGGGTGGCATTTATTCCTGGAGAAAACATCGTGTCTGACTTTGCCACAGGAACTGCCCATACAAGGTTAACAGCAATCCTGTTGTGAATTCCTTGGCGCCCCGTGTCTCCTAAACCCAACTAAACTGACGGAGGCCATGGAAACCACTAATTTTAACAGTGCCAGTGACATGCCTTATCTTTTAGCTTCCCCAGGCAGGAACCGTCACCCCAGCATGATGAAGCAGAGGTAGGAGCCAAATCATGAGGTGCTTAAAAAAGAAATAGAGGGAAAGATGGGAGGAGGGCCCCCCATTTTAATGATGGGGGTTAAACGTGCAGCCCCATGGGAGGTACCCAAAGCTGGAGAATAGAAAAAGGCACACACCTTCATGGAACAACCAGCTTACTGAAATATGTTTTGGGGAGAAATAATACATTATTTAAAAACATTATTTTTGCATCAAAACTTAGACCCCTTATGAAGGAGAATTTTTATGAACATGAATTTTTAAAAGAAAACTTAAGTTTCCCAGTAATTTGAACTGTCATTTCAGACTATGCCTGGACTCCTGGAGGCTGCATGCACCCTGCCTCTCCTGCACTGTAAGGCCACATTGGTAGGAAGTGCTGAGGGTGAAATAAGAACCGTGTCTGCAGGGCAGAGCCCCTTCGATGTGGTTGCTGATTGGGCCAGCATTTCCTGAGTTCCTGTCAAGTGCCTGGCTCGTAGCCAGAGGCCAGTGGTGCCAGGATGTCTAAGACACAGGCCTTGTGCTCAGCATTCATGGTCTAGTAGGGGCCATTGTGTTTGAGTGGTGCTAGAGCAGAGGTGTGAACCAAGGGCCTCCGCAAGCTGGATCTCAAAGCTGAGACAGTGCCCAGCAGGGGACACTGTCGAGGGAATGTCTTGCTTCCACCTGCCCCAGCAATCCCCCTGCTTCTCTGCCTGCTGTCCCCCTCTTTCCCATTTGTATTGTGTTGTTTTTAAAGCAAATGAAGTATTTTTCTATCTCAATCTTAAGATGTTTTACGATTCTTTTAGGGAACACTAGAGGTATTGCACATGCAGAAAGACATAAATGTTAACAGGAAGGCAGCTGATGTTGCACAGCCCCTAGGGGACTGTCAGACCAACACAAATGTCATCCCCAAAGTACTGAAGTAAAAGGTTCCCGTGTTAGAAGCCTCAGTCAAGACCATGTTCTCGCCTTCTAATGAAGAAACGTTAGAGGATGCTGTGTGTCTTTGTCTGTTAACCATTCTGAAATAACTGTTTATACTCCTTGGCTCCCTCTTTCTGTGTGTGGCCATGCCATCCTATTGTATTCTTGAACTGACTATAATCTGCACATTTGATTTAGTGTTTATACATGTTCGAAGCATTGTAAGCCTGATGCTTTGGAAAAATTTTTGGTTTTATAACAGCCTCTTTTCTTTTCTCAAGGTGAGTATGAAGTTTATGAGCTGTGTGCCCTGCGTAGGCAAGTGTGAACACAGATGGGCACTTTGGTCTCTGGTGGTAGTGCACTGTGGGAGGAGCCAAGAGCTGTAGCTAGTGTTGCAGTTTTACGTTAAGTTGTCACTGAGGGGATAGTCCCATTACCAAGAGGAATTGGAAAGAGTATCTTCTCTAGGTTTACAGTTCAGATGGATTAGGTATGTCTCGGTTTATCACACTGGCTTTTTAGAACATTAGCGGTTTTTCACTTTTAAAGTTGTTCATTTAACTCCAGTCCCTCTTGAGGTTTTCATCAGTAAATAGGCAAATAAGAGAACGTATTGGTGTTTCAGCCCCTTATTTCCTTAGAACCACTGCTAGATTCCTGGGGGAGAATGGTGGTGACAGGCAGTGGGCTGGTTGCCTCTGTGCCTGCGTCTCCACTTCAGGACCCACCTGCCACCAGCCACACCTGCAGCAGTGGTGTCTGAGTGCCTAAGGCAGAGGACTCCCTGGGCTCCTGAGATGCAGCTTGGACAGCAAGAAGGGGACTGGGAGACCTGGGTTCTGTCCTGCCAGAGTTCATGTTCACTCCAGGGCTTCACTTAGTCACCCTGAGCTTCAGTCTCCTTGTCCCTCAACCAGGGATAGTCCTGTCTTGCCGTCTCACTCACAGGGTGGTTTTAAATCAGCTGATGAATGTAGAAGTGCTTCAAAAAATATAGAGAGGATTTCACTCATTTAACATACCCTTCTCTTGAACCTGTGGATCTTCCTTCATTCCCCTGCCTGGGAAGTGGGACTAAGCAAGGGGGCTCTTTGGGTATTGTGAAGTGTAGCATTTTCTGAATTTCCCAGGAGGTGAACAAGAGAAACATGCTTTATCCACATATTCCTGTTGTTCTCTGTGCCACCGGGAGGTAGCTTTGGAGGGTGTGGAAGTTCTTTGTCAACCGTAAAGTATTATGCAGATCTAAATTGTTGCTATTTGAGTTATATTTGACGATGATTTTTTTTTTCTTTTTCTTTTGCACAAATAGAGGGGAATGGCATGTTTGTAACATAGTGGTAAAGCTTTCCAGCTTTAGAGTCGGATGACTGAGACTTGAATCTTTGCTCTACCTTTTACCAATTGTGAGATTAGGGGCAATTTACTTACCTCTTTGAGCCTTACTTTCCTTATCTGTGAAATGGAGCCAATAACAGTATCAACCTTAGGGAGTTCAGTGAAGATTTAGTGAGCTAAAGAATGTAGAATGCCTGATCACTGTTGTTATGATGGCTCCAGTAAGAGTATATAAAATGGGGCTTGATGCAAGAAAAGAATCTGATTAGTTCAGTCATTTTAAACAAATTAATAATAATTGGCCAAGGTGGGCCTCTATTAGTGAAAAGTCAGAATTATATAATTTTTAAATGTTTTATTACCTAAATATATATGTATATATGTATATATACATATATACATAATGACAAAAGCCAATGATTACTAAAGGATATTACTGTATAAACCACCATGTGGGCCTGCTTTAAAGAATAGATTAATTTATAACTTGACTATGAATTTAAAGCTTCAGTTTTGCTAACATCTTACAAAAAATACTTGAAACACTTTCTTAAGTAGGCCTCGTATGTTGTCAGGCAATAAATCTTTTTAGTAAACCAGCTTTTATGACATAAGATTGAGTGTAAACCCAGCCCATGTCTATAAATTCAAAATTCAAAATCATTCAGTTCTAAATTAACTTGTATTCCTTGTGTCCCAATAAGTTCCAGATGTACCAGGTCACAGGTACCTTTTTAAATCATTAATCCAATCTTATATTACTACGGGCCTATTTATTTGAACTTTAGAAGTTTTGAGGAAATATGGACGAAATGAAGCATTATATAAAAGCAAGGGCACTTTTCAAAACAGTTCATCTTTCTTAACCTCACTTCCTACACTGGGTATATCAAATACCAGAGGTACATCAAAGACTCAGGCTTGGCTACTTTTATGAAATCTTTGTTTCCTAAAACAAAGAGGTATATAGAGAGTGGAGAGGTGCAGGTGGGACTGTAGACTGTATTACATCAGAATTTTGCAGAATG